TCTCGAATAATTTTCAAGGATGAAATTAACTAGCCTCAGTTTGGAACCACAGATTCGGAAACAATGAAAATTGAAGGTTGTTTTCTGTTTTGTAATTTCATGTACTTCAATGGGTTGCTGACACAAAATCACAACTTCTTAGCATCCATGATGCTTAAATGAATTTAGTAGTGCTTCATGCGTTGAGCTCCTGCAGCATCTTATTCATCGCTTGAGGGCTGCTTGTAGTAAGAACTATGTCATCGGTGAGATAATTATGTGATTTAGCTGCTTGCCACTAATCTTCAGACCCTTCCACTCCAGCCTCTAAAGTGTTACAAGGGAAAATCTGAAAGGCAATTCAATTTTATATCACAAAAAAGTGGTGTCTGATTCGAGTAATTGCTCCAAGTATTCGATTCGTTAATACATGATCTGTTGTTTTTTTCGTCTTCATTTCGATCAGTTATTGTTTTGACGTAGTTTACCCGCATTTCATCTGAGTAGCTAGAATAAATGCCTGGATGATCTAGAAGGAATGTGTTCATGAATGCAGAGCAAAGCAGTCAAGGAAATTTAGGTAAAAAAGTGCATTTTTTTACTTTTGATATATTTTTGGCACTTTTTCAATATATTTTCAGGAACCTTTGCTTGTATTTTTCAGTAAAATTTATGTTTCTTTGATCTTTTTTGTTTTTTGCAAGTTTCATACATTTTTTCTTGGAATTTTGTGCACTTTGGAGATGTATTTTTTGGTAGGATGCATTTTTCATTTTTGGAGGGTTTTACACCTTTTTTTGACCAAATTTATCATTTTCGAGTTAATTTTGATTTTTTTTGGGGGAAATTTGACTCATTTAAGCAAAAAAATTTTTGGAAAAAAAGGATGTGATTTTTACATTGCAGTAGTAGAAGGAATAACAGGTAATGGACAAATAATGGAAGAAAAATATGTGAATAAAAAAAGGTAGAAGAAACGATATGAAAGAGAAATAAATAAATACCTCGAAAGGAATATTTCGGTTCATTGAGTTATATACACTCTTACTGAAGCAAAAGTTAAAATTTTACCCCTCTCTCTCTTGCATCTACATACGCACGTTTTTCGACGTCATCACGAGATTTTACAATGTTAAAAAATATGGCAAAACTCGGCTTTCATCTCCACTACGTCATTTTTTCCATTTTTCGCTCAAAGTTATAGTTAATTCTGTGCAGCTGACAACAACTTTTCCAATCGCTCTGACCAGTACTGCGTCATTTGATGACCAGCTTGCTGGCTTTTCGGACATTCAGTATGTCTCCTGGAGGGGTTGTCGTTATACTTCCTCCAAGAACAAAGAACAATGAAGTATATCCTGTGAGATTGTTTTAAAATTACATATTCTAATGCGCAGGTAAATTTGCAACCTACGTTTCATCCCTTAGCTGTAAACACAGACAGAGCATCTGATGCGAGTAGTAGTGGGAATCGTCCGTCAGTGCAACCTCCTACTTGCCATTTATGAAAAAAATAGATCAAGAGTGACTATGAGGAAAGAAGAGAGAACAGAGAAGGAAATAGAATTATAGGTGGAATATGGGAGAAAGCGAGAGAAAAATAGTAAGGATGACGTTACTTTCCCCTGTGATTGGGTATTGAGGTACCATTATTATTTGGGATTGAAAATAGTCATACTGTCCCACTGGATCGCTTGTTTGTTGAAGTGAATTTTGGCCATGT